TTCAGATCTTACTAGATCTGAAATCACATCAGATCTGATCTGGTAAGATCTGGTAAGATCAGATCTTACTGGAATAAGTCTTATTCTAGGCCATCATCCTCACTTTAATTTTTCTGCTCTCTCAGCTGGATGCTAAAGATACTAAAGACATGTTTATGAATCCACTTTGGCAAGACCACATGTCCCCTGGCCATGCTCTTATCCAGGATTGCTCTAAATTCACTATCCATGTTTGAAATTGTTTTTTGCTTGTTTTGAGACAGGGTCTCACTATGCAGTTCAGGCTACCTTAAGCTCACTTTGTAGCTTAGGCTGGTCTCAAACTCATAAGGATCCTCCTGTCTTAGCCTCCCAAGTGCTAGGATTACAGGCATGTGCCACCATGCCTGGCCATGTTTGAATCTGAGAGCTTTAAACAGTTTATCTTTTAAATACAGAACTTCCAAGGCGAATTTCTGATCCTTAAAAGCTGGTTATTTTATAGGAATACATTTGCAAGTGATGAACTCTTCCTAGTTCAACTGTAATACAATAGATTGCCTTTCACTGATTTTCATATGTCTCTCCCCCTCCTGGTTATTTAGAGAGACTACCTTCAAGCCAGTATAAAGATTTCATAAATATCTGGCCACTTTTTGACCACTTGTACAAGTTATTTCACATCTTTCAGCAAGAAAACCACTGTATAAAGAGTAAAGATATGCCACAATTAACAGAGAAAAATGAGAATCTGCTCTAAATATTTATTTCTCTGGGAGAAGAGCACCCCGTTTGTACTTAAAAAAAAACACATCCTTACAATTCAGAAGACCTTTTTCATTTTTAAACATTACTGGGTATTGAACCCAGGGCCTAGAACACTTAACCACTAGTTAGGTGCTGAATGTCAGAGCTGCATGACCAACCTGTGCTATGAATCTACAGGGAATTGGTTCCAGCAACTCAGCTCTTTCCCTTTGGTTCTCACAAAAGTACTCTTTCCCGGGTGGAGCAGGCTGGTGCTTAGCTGAACCCAGGAACTACTCTCTTTGGCTTCCTCCTCTTTCTGATCATTTTCTTCCTTTCCAGAAGTCATATGAGCTCTTAGAATGTCTGATGGGCTCAGAAGATGCATTCATTCTGTTGGCAAGAATCTTACCCTTAACCCGCTTGTTTTCAACAATGCCAAGAGCATGTTGGGTAGACTGTAGACTATTCTTCCAGTTTTGACTCGCTAACATTTGTGTGGCATTCCTTCTTGAACAGTACCCATTCCCTTTATGTCTACTATGTCATCCTTTTTGTAGATATGCATATGTGCCCAAAGGAACAACTCCATGTTTCCTGAAAGGCCTTGAGAACATATACCAGATTGCTCTCCTCTTTCCCTCGGTGTTCACTACTGCGTGTTCATCATTTTGGTGAATTACTAGAAGATGGCAGTTCTAGCCAAAAGGTCTGTGTTCAGATTTCAACTCTATAGTCCCTGCTTTCTGGTAAGCCTCAGATATGCCCCTTGGTGTGTGCACAGCTCAGAGGATAGATCTATACTGAAAGAGATTACTGTACAGAATTGACAGGCTCACATGGTTGTGGAGATTTCAAGGTTCTAATATCCACAGTTGGCAAGTTGGAGACCAAGAGCGCCAGTGATCTTGCTCCAATTTGAGTTCAAAGGTCTGAGAGGCAGGAGAGCCAGTGGCATGAGTTCTAGTTGATGTCCCCACTGGAAGGCATTGAGGCAGAAAGAGATTCTTAATCAGCCTTTTGTTCTATTCAGACTTTCATGGGATTAACTGAAGAGCACCTTCACTGGGCAGGGCAATCTGTCTTACTTTGTTTATCAACTCAAGTCCAGAACACCTCATCCAGAAATACCCTCATAAGCCAGATGTGCTGGTGCATGGTTGTAATCCCAGGACCAGGGAGACTGAGGCAGGAGAATCGCCATGAATTTGAGGACAGCCTGGGCTATGTAGTGACTTCAGAGCCTGAACTACAGAGTAAGACCTTATCTCAAAGAAAAAAAAATCAAGAATATCTTTAAAGACACACACAGAAATGTTTAACCAAATATCTGGGCATCCTGGGGCCCAGTGGACACATAAAATTAATCATACTCTAGTCTCTGGCCACAGATTCACATCACTCACAGAATTCAGGAACCACTCTCTCTAGAGCACACTTCCTCTCTCTGCCCCATGATTCAACCATTTCAGCTGTCTCCAGGTCTGACCTCTGCCTCCTATGGCCAGTAGGCTGGACCTACTTTTCTCAGACTCCAGTTCTTTGCACTATAGTTGTGAAGTCATTCCTAGGTAGATGGCTGAACTAGGCAATTTGGGGGCTTACTGCAGCTTTCTTTCTCAGAAATTGATCACAATCTTTGCTTCCTGTTGTCCTCTACCCAAAGTAGTTGCCTTATAAATTTTTGTCATGACACATGGTGGGAAGATTAATCTGGATTACTGACAGCTAGAAAAATTGTTAATTTTCAGCTGCTTTATAGCGTTTTTATGAATTATGCACCTTACTCATGCTTGTGTTAATGGAATTAGATATTTAGGTGTATTTAAGCTGTCAATAAAAATGATACATCAATGCCTGTATTCAGAAGTGGAACTTCAGGGTTATAGGAATCCTTTCATTTTCATCATTACACAGTATTGCCAAGTTACTCCCCAAATTGTATATTCAGCGTATCAACAAACAGCGTATGTATTCTGTTCATTGTACATCCTTGCCATTCTACATCTTGAATTATTAAATTTTTCTTCTTTAGTAAATGAACTCAAAATGGTACAGTATTATGTTTCCATAAGCTTTTCACATAGTAGTGAGGATAAATATATGTATATATTTATTATATGTGTATATATTATCTATCAGCTACTTGGGCTCCTAATCAATAAATTGCTGTCTATACCAATTGTCCTTTTTAAAATTATATCCGGTTTTGTTACCAGTTCTTTTTTTGTTATTGTTGTTTTTTTTTGTTTTTGGTACTGGGGATGGAACTCACAACCTCATGCCTGCCAGGCAGGCGCTTATGCCACTGAGCCTTTTTATTTTTTATTTTTTTTTTGGTTCTGGGGATCAAACTCATTCTTGCTGGGTGAGCAGGTGCTTACACTGCTGAGCTAAACCTCTGGCTCCATCAATTTTTTGAGCTCCTGATAAATTGTGGTTACTAATTCTCTTTTGGTTCTGTGTGTTAGATTTGCTTTGTCAGTCTTAGCTTGTGTTTCAGATGTGCATGTTGTTTTTCCATATGCAGAAGTATCAAGTTCTAATGTTATATTATGTTTTACAAAGGGATTTATACATTTTGTGTCCTCATCACTTTGCTTTCCAAACACAAGGAGGCTTTGGTCTTGACCTATGTACAGTAAGTCCCAGTAATTTTAGCTTATGGCTTTATGTATATCTCCTTCACTGAACTCCAATCATATCATTTAAAGGACCTTTGTTGAACTGGATCCTTTTTCCTTTCCCCATTTCTTGAATGAGGAAGCTGCATTTCCTCATTTCCCATTCACTGTTCAACTCATTGCAACTTGACCTTTGTCCTGCTATTCCACTAATACTATTCCACTGATACACAGATCAGCCCTTTTCGTCTTCAGAAGCAGAACTGCTCTGGGAGTGAGCTGGGGAAAAGCTGGACCCCAACTGCTCTTCTCAGTTGATCCAGAGGCATGTACACTAAGCTCTGATGGTTCTCCAAACACTGTAATCCCGAGATCTTGAACTGTTTAGACCCTTGCATCTTCTCTGCCTTGAACCTGAACAAGCCGGTCTGGTAAGGTCCAGTAGCATTTTCCAGATCACTGTCATCTCTATTGTTCATTCTTTCTCTTTTTGAGCAAATACCACACAGCACACTGAATTGTCATTTTCTTACACATCACACTTTCTTCCTCACTAACCTAAGAATTTCTAAACATCAGAGACCCTTATCTTGTCTTTAATCCCTTTAACATGTAATAACAATGCGATGGGTAAATCAAAGAATGAATGGCTAGGGCAGCTGAGCTAGTACCAAATCTGGACCAGAAGACTACCAAATTGTTAAAACTGGTGGTTAATACACATAATTTAAATTCGCAGGGCAGTACAGCCATCTTTATAATACTTTTGTCACAAAAAAGAAAACCTATAACTATGAGCAATCTTTACTCCATCCCCTAACCATACTTCCGGGTCCTAGGCAACCACTGATCTTTCGCAGGCTCCCAAATTTAACATTTGATTGATCACAGATCCACAAAATTTACTGTGATAACTGGACTATAATGTGCAGCTTGATAGGTAGCTGTCCTATGTTGTTACTTGTACTATAGAAATTCAAATTTGGGGGCTAAAGCAGCAGGTTCGTGTTCAATCTGTGGTTGGTTAGAACCAGATCCACATTTAACAAGTGGTTGGTTTGACCTTGCATCTCTCTATTGCAGCGGGAGATAGCTGTGTGTACTTTGGCAGAAAACAGAGTTAATGAGAAATCTCACAATCGCTGGGAGCAACTGTCACAAGTGCTCTCCAGTGATTTGCTGAAGGGGAGTTGAGTGCTTAGAAAATACGCAGAATTACGAGCGCTGTGCTCCGCTGTTTTAAAATTTTATTTAGCTTAACCCTTAAAAATACAGAGTCTTATGCGTACAGCAGCGCTCTTCTACTTCATTTTTCTGCAGTATTGAATACTGCATTTGGGTCGTCGAACTGAGCTACATTTGCAGCCTTTTTTTTTTTTTCTTAAACACTGTGTCCCCCTAATTTGGCCATGCTGGGGTCCAACCTACGATCCTCTTGCCTCATCCTTCCAGAGTGCTGTGATTATACGAGGTGCTTTTCAGTTTAACGCGATTCTTCCACAGGACCGCGCGAAGGCCACGCGGGAAAACTTGAGGCTCATCGCCGGGCACTCTCCAGAGTGCATTTTTCAAAAGGGGTCGGTTCACCGGTGTCGCCAGGCTGATGCGTTGCCCACGGTCGCGCGCTCAGTGACGTATGAGGCGCGTGATGACGCGGACGTGGCGCGGTGCACGCTGGGATATTTAAGTCTTCTCCGCGGCGCGGAGCCGCGATGTCTCCGGCGGTTGCGGCAACTGGAATAGGCGAGCGGCGACGGCCCATAGCGAGTGCCAGGGACTGCCGGGGCCGTGGTCGCGGCTGCGGCGGGCCGGCCGGGACGGCGCTGGTCGGCTTGTCGTTGCTCGGCCTCGTGCTGTACCTGGTGCCCGCGGCCGCGGCGCTGGCCTGGCTGGCTGTGGGGGCTACCGCGGCCTGGTGGGGACTGAGTCGCGAGCCCCGAGGTTCGCGCGCCTTGTCCTCGCTGGTGCGGAACGCGCGGCGCCACCGAACGTTGCTCGCTTCGCCTCCAGCCAAGTCGGCAGTGAACGGAAGTCTCCTAGAGCCGAGGACCCCGCTCGACGGACCCGACTCTGCAGAGCTGCTCCTCATGGGCAGTTACCTGGGCAAGCCTGGCCCGCCGCAGCCCACCCGCGCCCCGGAGGGCAGGGACCTGCGGGAGAGGCCCGGCCTCCCGCAGGCCGCCCGCACCCCGCTGCCCGCTCCTGCGGCCCGGCGCGCCCATCACGTTTACTCCTCTCTCCCCACCACCCTCCCCCGGCCGTCCCGGAGGCCTTCCCACCGGTAAGATACACCGATCTTCCCAGATGCCCCGGCCAGTAGACTGGCTGCGGACGTGACTTGTAAATCCAGTTTTCTTCTTCCTGGAGTCCAAAGTGGATTCTGTGTGGTTTTCACCTCTTTAAGGAAATCTTGATGTGTGTCAGGCATCACCTGCCTTCCTCTACCTCTTTCAATGAGATATATTACCAATATGCCACTTTCCACTTCTATTTTGTTTTGTTTTGAGTCAGAGTTTTCCCATGTAGTCAAGGCGGTCGTTGAACTCACTAAAGTGGCCAGGCTGGGCTCAAATTTGTGATCCCCTGCCTCAGCCTCCATGTGCTAGATTACAGGTGAGAGCTACCACACCGTGCTCACCAGTTCTTACAAGTAGTGCAATTTACATTTAGCCAAATACGTAATTACTAAAATATCTCTCCTTTCGGAGAAAACGTCTTTTGGAGTTTAATTATGTTATGTTTGACTACGTTTGTGTGTTTGGACCAGTAAGAGAAATTGTATCCATGGAGCTCAAAGAGGAATCCCAGGAAATATTTAAAAATAACACGATGATGGAGCTGATTGGGTCAGACACATTTTCATTTTGTCCAATACAAATACAATACAAAGGGGCTGGGGATACAGCTCAGTAGCATAAGCACCTGCCTAACAAGCACAAGGTCCTGAGTTCAATTCCAGTACCAAAACAAATGTACAAGAAAGTATAAAATATTGATGAAAAAGCCAGGGATATAGCTCAGTGGCACAGTGTCTGCCTGGCAAGCACCAGGTCCTTGGCTTGATTTCTGGTACAAAAAAATAAAATCTGTGAAAACATTGAGATTTTGATTAATATATCTAGTTAAGAAAGTGAACTAGGGGCCAGGGATTTAGCTCAGCGGCATAAGCACCTGCCTGGCAAGCACTAGGTTGTGAGTTTGCTCTCCAGCACCAAAAAAAAAAAAAAAAAAAAAAGAAAGTGAATCAGGGTTGAAAATATTTGACTTCAAATGCATATTATGATTTAGCAAAAATAAATAAAAAATTCTTGAAAAGTCCCTCTCAGCACACCTCATGCCATCTCCTTTTTCCCACAGTACTTGTGTGACCAAGGTTTTCAGTTTCCCTATGAAATCACAGAAGTCTGTGGTACAGACAGCTGTTAAGCAGCTGCCACTTTCTGCCCTTAGATGGAATAGGGAAAAGTTGCCATAAAACCACCATGTTCTGTTTTGCTTAGAAAGAGATTTAAATGCTTGCTGGTTCTTTAGCCATGCACATTATCTGACATTCTTTAAGTTACTTTGATTCCATGATGTGTCTCCTCTCCTCTGTAGGGATTACGGGACTTTATCCAATCGGTTTGTGATAACACCTCGAAGACATTATCCCATCCAGCAAGCCCAGTATTCCTTACTGGGGGTCTTGCCCACAGTGTGCTGGAATGGTTGTCAGAAGAAACCTGTGCTGTCTGCTCGTAACTCAAGGATGGTGTGTAGTCCAGTGACTGTGAGAATTGCACCTCCAGACAGCAAACCACCTCGTGCTCCAATGTGAGTATTGTTGAAACGGTCCTCCCTCTGTGTCTATTTTTCTACAGTCTTTTCTCTGACAAAACAAGTAAAGCACATACAGTACACACAAAAAAGAAGCAGCTGCCTATTTGAATGAAGATTCCCAAATTTTAGTGAAACCATTTATTTTTGGCACTTGACAGTAGTTGTCATTGCTAATGGCAATTTCTGTGAGTGTATAAATGATATTTTTGCTCATTTGTTGACTTTGGGTAGCTTAAGTCTGTGTCATGTGGCCTGGTAATTACTGTACCTCACTGTTAGAATATTGTCTTTCATTGCAGGTCCGAGCAGATCATCAACTCAACACTGTCCTCATCATCAAGTAATACCCCAGACCCATGTGCAAAAGAGACTGTACTGAATGCCCTCAAAGAGCGGAGGAAAAGGACAGTAGAAGAAGAAGACGAAATGTTTGTCGATGGCCAGGAAAATAAGAGAAGGTAACAGGTCCAGCAGAACACTAAATGAGCCTCCTGTGTGGACTGGTGAGAAGTTGTCAAAATGTATGTCCTTCCTGAAAAGTAAGCCAGCTCCAGTTTGTGAGCCTTTATGGAATCTTTGGCTTTCATGGAAGAGCCTGGTAGTAAGGATTTGAATGCTAATCACTTCCTAAGGCATAGTTTAGGTACATTTTATAATCTTTATTTTCCACAAATAGCAGAGACAAGCTGACAACTCAGCCATATTGGCTTCCTGCTTTGATCCAAATGTGTTAAATTTTGTGTTTTCTGCTGAAGGAAGTGTGTGTCAGGGAAGAGTGAAAACTAGAGTATGGTAGGTTTATCAGTGCTGAGAATAAAACCACTTTTCTTATTTAGGTTATATAATAACCATGAAAACAGAGTAAAATTTTCCTGAGTCTTTGTGTTCATTGGGTGTTTTTGGTTTGTTTTAAATAAAGATTGAACGCAGGTCCTGGACATGGTAGGCAAAGTAGCACTAAGCTATGTTCCCAGTCTTCCACTTATTTTTTATTTCATCCACCTGTTCCAGGCAGATAGGTCAGTAAACAAGACAATCCCTGCCTTTAGGGGTCTCTTTTGAGGGAGACAGGCAGGGTAATTGTAGATTGGACAGGGTAATTATAGATTGTAAGTATATTGAGATGCGAAACAGCAATAGAGGACAAGAAGAGTGCTTTCTTTTAAAAGTGGTCAAGGAAGAGCTCTCCACAGAGAAAGTGAACACCATAACTGAAAAATATAACCATCATCTTTACTACCTACACTGGATTGTTTATATTCAAAGTTGGTCATCTTTGATACTGTAGATGACAAAATAAATTGAGGGAAATGTCCGTAAATGAACATGTATTTATGTAACATGAGAAAATTTGGTAGTGGTAACTAAAGATAGGAATTATAGTTGTGGAAAGTGAGCAGATCATGCTAATGTCAACCAGCTAAGCAGAAGTGGCAAGTGGTAGGGAGCGAATGACAACCTCATCATCCACATGTCCTCTAATGTGACACTTTTCCTCCAGTGACAACCAAGGATTCAGTGGTGGTATTCTCATTGGAATAAGCAGTGTACTGCATATATATTCTTCTTACGTGTGATACGGTTTTTTTCCTAGCAGGCTTGGCATAGTACCCTCTGGGGCGCTATGGGGTGTGTGGATTGGTCTGTAACTTTTTTTTCAATTTGGGAAGTGTTAATATTATGATTATAATACTCTAACATGAAGTTAACAAATAAGAAAATTGATACATTCAAAAGGTCTTGAAATAGTTTCTTACTGTTCTTATTACTGGGGCAGTCTTCGGTTAGATGTATCTTTCAGAATTCTAGGGATTTGAAACACAGAAATGATGTACATCTCAAAAATAGAAGAATATGTTTTAAGCCTGGCAAGTCATGTTTCATGAGAAGGTTTTGATTTCTTTAGGCGCCATGATAGCAGTGGGAGTGGACATTCGGCCTTTGAGCCGCTGGTGGCCAATGGAGTCCCCGCATCTTTCGTGCCTAAGTAAGTTCTAGTTCATCTGGGTGAGACAGCAGCTGTTTGGGAAGGGGTGTTATCATGGCAGTTCCCTTGTAGATTTCCCTCTTTGCTTTTTTTCATTGCTTAATTCAGATTCATATCTTTGAAATCAGGGAGGAATTTCGGAAGTAGCTTACTGCAGTCAACTGTCTAGTTCCTTTTTTACATTTTTTGCATTTATGTGAATAAAATAGCCCCAGTATATTTGATATGCAGGTATATAATCAGAAGAATTACAAGGCTATTGCAGTAGATGAAACACAACATGAAAAATTTAACGTGAACAGTAAATAAATTTTTAAATTTGAGTTTAAAACAGTTTGAAGGAAGAACTGGATGGAAGGGAAAGTGGCTCACGAACGTGTGTGAAAGCGATTAGGACAGCATATGTTTACTTTGAGTTAGCAGGCCAGTATGGCTGCCAGAAATGCTACTGTGGTCCTAGTCTGTGCTGTTAGAAGACAGACTAGAAAGCTGGTAGTGATCATCCTGCTTTCTGTAGTCCAGATTTTCCTGGAGCATTGGGAGTCCACTTATTGTTCTGCACTACCAGAAGGGTTGACACAAACTCACGCTCATTCCCAGACCACCAAGATGCTGGGGAAATTTGGAGCCTGGTGGGTGAAGAGGATTAGAGGGTGTGGAAGAACCATCCCAGAGAACAGCCTCAAGAGAAGAAAGGAAAGCTAATAGTCCTCCAGAGGCAAGAGGACTGTCATGTGAGAGCCAAGCTAACCTGCTCCATTGGCTCCAAATAAGATCCTGGGTGAAAGCTGAGGAAATAGATCTTAATTTAGAGACTGTGGGTCAGACTGGGAGACGGTGTGAGCTGACTGTTGTAGCAGAGGTTGGATGACAGTCCTACAGGCAAGTTGTATGGGGAATATCTGTTTCTGTTGGAAGCTTTAAGACATGGTTGCCTCCTCTTAACTTTTTTAAAACCACTTTATTATGGTATAATTGGTAAAAAATAAACTACCTGTTGGAAGCGCAGACTGTGAAGTTTGCCATGTGTGCACCTCTGAAGCCCATCACTGGCATCAAGGTGTGGGGCATATCTGGTGTCAGACGTTCTCCCTCCCTCCAGGCCCACCCACCCCCAACATGTGTTTTCTAGACTGCTATAATTGGAGTTACATTTAAGTATCCGGCTTTCCCCACTGACTTTCTCAGATAATTTAGCCAGATTGTGAACGCAAATTCAGTGTTACTGCGTCTCTTGCAGTTCACTAAGAAAGGTTCATAACCAGAATGACACCTTCAAGAATACTGTCATCACCAGAATGTGTAATAGATACTGTGAAATAGGAAGAAATTGTTCAAATGGGAAGGGGCACTAGGGAAAGAAGAAGGGGGAAAAGAAGGAAGAGAAAATAAAAGGAAACATGGAAACAAAGCTTTTGTAAATGAGGGGAAGATGGGTTAAAGGGAGGGGAAAGAGGAAAAAAATCAAGATATGCCTTATACAGGCACAAATTCCTGATGATGAATGTTACTATCATGTATGTCTAAAAAGTTTATAAAAATAAAAATTTTAAAAACAAGAACACTGCCTTCAGTAACACATCGTACTTTCCCCTTCTGTTAGGCCTGGAACCTTGAAGCGAGGTCTTACTTCCCAGAGCTCAGATGACCACTTGAATAAACGCTCACGCACATCTTCTGTGAGCTCCCTGACAAGCACGTGCACAGGTGGCATCCTCAGCTCCAGCCGCAACGCCATCACCAGCTCCTATAGCTCTACCAGAGGCCTTGCACAGGTACATCGACAGCTCTGCTGTGGGAGTGTGGGTTCCTGGCACCGCTAACTGATCAGCAGCAAAATACTGACCATCTTCTGTCTGATACTGGGATTGTTGCTAAGCTAACAGCACACAAAGCTGTAAATAATAAATATAATAAAATATTGCCCAGTGGAATTGAATAGAAAGCCCAGTATAGTGGTACCTTGGTTTACAAACTAGTATTTTTGGGAAGATGGCTGCTCTTGTGTTTGTGTTGGGAAGGTGGCTGTGATTGTGTTTGTCACCTGATGCAGAGTTTGTGAATGGAAGCAAAATTTTGTCTGAACACTTTTGTCTGAACTGAATTGTTTGGAAATAGTAGCATTCGTGACCCACAGTATTACTGTAGCATTATGATTGCAGATAAATGGACAACAGAAGAGCAGTTCAATAAATGGTATTAATTCAGTTGAAAAGGTTGATTGAGTATGGGTAGTGTGGGGACATAGAAGAGATCCTGTAAGCATATAGAATTTAGTGCAAGCTTTTTAAGCAAGAAGTCATAATTCAAGGTGGCCATAATCATACATCCTTGTAATTCTAGCGCTTGGGAAGCTGAGTCAGGAGGATCTTGAGTTCTAAGCCTGCCTGGACTAAGTGACATCTTGTCTCAAAAAAAGGTCATAATTTTTGTTGTTTAGAAGGGTGAACATAGTATAGTGTAGAGAAGAGAAAAGGCTTTGCTGCCAGAAAGTTTAGGTATAAATCTTGCTTTCACACTTAGTAGCGGTTGGGTCTTGAATGGATAAATTGCTGAAATTCTTTTGCCTCATCTCTGAAGGATTGTTGCAGGTACCGAAGGTCATGTTTGAAAAGCGCTCCTTCCAGTGCCTAGAAGTAGTGGGTATTCTGTTTTAGCTAGGGAAAAAATGGTGGCTGCATGGAGAAAGATTTTTGAGGGGAGAACATTTTCAGACCAGTCCCTTCAGCCTGTGGTAGTCATGCATGTGGAGGGCACGGCCTGAGTCACTGCAGCTGTGGAGGGAAATAGCAAGGATTCTGGTAACAGCTTTTGTTTTGACGCTTGCTCTGTGAGGCCCTCTCTAGAGCCTTCTCCACGCATTTCATTTCTTCAATCTCCACAGCAGCCCTACTGAGTGCATGCTTAACCACTAGTTTTTTGGTCCTTTTTAATTTAAGGCTTTATAGTTACACAAAAGTAAAGAAAATGTAATGTATGTGCACATAGCTTCAGTAGTTACCAGCATTTTCTTAATCTTGTTCCATCGATTCCTACAGTTGCTTTTGCTCTTTTGTTTTAAAGCAAATTACAAACATGTCATTCCATCTGTAGGTGGTACATTATATTTTTAACTTTTAAAAACTTACTTTTTAACATTAATCATAATATCATTGTCCCTCTTAAACATTAACTCTTGATTTTTGTTTTTTGCAGTACCGGGGATTGAACTCACAACCTTGCATTTGCCAGGCAGGCGCCTATGCCGCTGAGCTAAATCTCCAGCCCAGCATTAACTCTTCAATAGTAGTTAATATTACTCTATGGTCAAATTCCCTTAATTACTCAAAATTAGTTACTTTGAACTAGGAACCAAAATTCAGTGCATTACATTTGTCTCTTAGGCTTTTTAAATCTGTAATGCTTCTGACTTCCTTTTGTTTGTGCTTTTGAAAAAAATCATTTTCTTCCACTGAATTTTCCATTCTTAACTTACATCATGTTGGTAACCTTTACCCTCTCCTCTGTTTCCCATGTAAATAAACAGGTGGACCCTCAGCCTTGCTTAGATTCAAGTTCAGTTCAGTTTACTTTGAGTAACTACTAATAAAGAGTTAATGCTTAAGAGGGACAGTTCAGAGTACCTATGGGCGATGCTGTGTGTTTTCCTTTTGTGTCACAGTGAGTATTGTGCCAGTGTTTGTCTGAGGGGTGTAAAGGTCCCTTGTCTCGTTTTTTCCTGGGTGCATTGTTGTAGGATGCAACAGGTGATACTCAGGTTCTTCATTTCCAGTGCTTATCAACTGAAATGTTATGGAAGAACACACCCTGCCTGCAGAAACAGTAGGGTAATGAGGTGTTGATGGCATAGCTCATGCCAGGGGTGATCAGTAAGGTTTTTGCTATTGATCTTGATTATCTTTATGAACTTCTGAATTTTTCTAAATATTTCACATTTTCAATACATTGCAGTTTTGCTTGGGTGATTTTGAAGATTAGACATAAAGCGTTTGTCCTGAGCTACATTTCCACCCCTTTTTTATTTTTTATAAGAGGATCTCACTATGTTTTCTAGGTTGGACATGAACCTTGTGATCCTCCTGCCTCAACCTCCCATAGTGTTGGGATTATAGATGTGTGCCACCATGCCTGCCTTCTTTTTAAAATTTTGGTACACTTTTGATACAGATAATGATCACATTCATTATAGGGAGTTTGTACCTATACATAATATACCTTGATTCTTTTTTATCTCCATTCCTTCTCTCCCCTTACAGCCTTTCTTCCCTTCCTTATTTATAGAAGCTTTGTTTCCTTTTTTTTTCTTTTATTCTCCTCACTCCTTCTCTTTCCCATTTGAATAGTGTCTTCTACTTCCCAGTGTTATCCATTTTGATCCATATTTACACACTGAGACAAAAGTGCTGCCAATTTACTAAATTGCGCAGGCTGTATTCATGTTTACAGTCCTGGCTCCGTCTTCCAGAATGCTAGGATTGTAGGTGTGCGTCACCACACCAAACTACGCAGTTGTTCTTTTTGATAAGTGAACTTTTTCAGTTTGGGCTGGTAAGAACAATTTCAGACCTGTCTCCTGTTCCTTTGTTTAGACTCTTGCAGTCTTTGACAGTTAAATTGCTTTTTGATCCTTTCTTCCCAGAACCCATCTTGTATAGTACCTGCTGAAAGGGAAGTTGGTTGTATTTTCAAATAGCTTTGGTTGGGGCTGGCAATTTAGCTCAGCAGCATAAATGCCTGCCTTGCAAGCATATGGTCGTGAGTTCGATCTCTGGTACCAATAAAAAAAAAAGTAAAAAAAAAAAAAAAAGTCGAATAGCCTTGGTTTCTCCCAAGGGAAATGGTATTAAAGAGTACAGTCTGGGTTCTAGCAGAGGCAGATAACACAGACCTCGGAGAAAGAGGAATCTAAATCATTGTTCATAATGATATTTCAAATTCAGATTTAAGATGACAGGATTTTTATGTAAAATTTCTTTGACCTTATATTTTTATGTATTCTTATACAAAAAAAGTAGGTTTATAACCACTGGATTGATTCTGGCACACAATTACAAATAATATGTCATTATTAACAACAAGGTTTTTGTCATTTTATCCTTCATCTCTGAACATTAGGGATATACAATCAAAATATTGTATCTTAAAGTAATTTAGATTGAATCACTTGGTTGTGCCACTACTTTTATCTACCTCGAGATTTGTGAATACATATTTTACAGTTTTAGAGATTTCTTTTTCATTTTGATTTAGCATTAATTCCAAACTAAATTACTCCAGAAAACATGTCACGACAAAATACACTTTGAGAAATCCAGTTTCTATCTTTTTCATTTCACATTACTTTCTTCCTCTCCTTCAGTTGTCTATTTAAACCTGTTATGGCCTCATGCAAGGTTTTATCAGAGGTGGCTGGATCTAGAGTGTTTGATGCTGGGATAAACATGTGGTTACTAAATTAGTTCTCTGATGGGTTTAGTGTAGTTCTGGGTAGGGTGAAGGGTACTAGGTGTGGGTGTTCCCACCTGAGGGCAAGTAGCTGGATAAAATATAAGGGACAGAAAGAGGAATAGTGGTCACTTGCATGTTGCTTGTTGTGTGTTGCCGCTGCAACCTATCTTCTGCTCTTTGACGCCTCTCTGCCATGCCATCCTGCCCTGGAGCCAGCCATTTATGGACCAAAACCTTCTACCTATAACCCAAACCTTTCCTCTATCTATAGGTGTCAGGTGTGACTTTGTCTCAGCAGTGAGAAAAGTAACTAAGACAGATAAAACTTCTGATACTTACAATGGTAAACAGCATGTGCAGATTTAAACCTTGCCTCTTAATAGGTACTGGAGATCACTCCATAGCAGCATATATAGAGAAATCTGTTTTCTTAAAGCTGCATGGTTCCTCCAGTCCTCTGTTGAGAAATACTGGGTTGTCTCAGTCTTGTGCTATTACAAACAGTGCCGCTAAGACTATATCACCTCCTGGGTCACTTCACACTTGGCAGCTGCACTTCAGGGGTAGAATCAGATTTCCAGGTCAGAGGTGAGATGACTGTGAATCTTGCTTCCCCTCCAGAGAGCATGCACTGTTTACGTTCAGGTGGGTGTGTTCAAGAGTGGCAGAATTGTCATAGGTTTGAGTTGTTCCCAAGTGAAGAGTAGTAGTATCTAGGTCTCCTCTCCGAGTGGCTTTAGTTGCCTTTTCATACATGAGTTGATTATTTTCACTTCTCTTTCTGTTACTCTCATTTTTTTTTATTAGTTCATATCTTTTGCATATTTTCTGAAGGGCTACTTGTCTTTTCTCATTTGGAAGAGCTTTCATGTATTAGAAAAACCCATTCCAAATGAAGCTTTTTTTTTGGTGAGGGGAGTACCTGGAATTGAACTCAGAACCTCAGGCTTGCCAGCCAGGTACTGGCCACTGAGCTAAATCATGGGTCCCCCATGAACGTTTAGATGTAAAGCTGAAACCACAGAAGTATCAGAGGACTTGGGGTCTTGAGAATTGCTGGTGGGAGCATCAGTTGTCCTCTTAGCGGCTCATGTATCTGCATTAGAGGAGCTCGTGCTCTTTTAGTCAGCGGTTCTCTGTGTAGGAGGTTCTCCTGTACATACTGAGAGAAACACAGGACATTGAGTATAACATTTTATTAGCAGAAACAGTAATTATGTACCTTCTCAGGGGCCTGGTTGAAGAGTAATATTTTGGTAAGGTTGAAATACTATGTTACTATTAAAAATAATAAGAGCTTAATAGGTACTCCTGTGAATGATCTCAGAAATTTATAGAGGCAGACATGGTGCTTATCTGTAATTTCTCCTACTTGGGAGGCCAACCCAGGAGGATTGCCAATTCAAGACCAGCCCGGGCAACTTAGTGAGACCCTGTCTCAGAACTTAAAACATAATGAAGTCTGGGTATAGAAAACAATATGAAGAATTGTATGACTAGCACCTAGTGAGCTGCTGGTTTCTTTAGTGTGCACATGTGTGACTATCCTGTTCTCTCCCCTTCTCATCTTTAATCATTTAATCGGCACAGACTGCTCTTATAGAATATAGTATATTAGAACCGATGTAACATGCCAGTTTCCAATATATAGCAAAATATATTCGTTCCTTCTGTATTTATTAACCATTCCACTACCATGTCTCTTTTGCTTCCAAAATTAATACTGGCAATTGACACTTTTCAGGGGTATTTTTTTTTTTTTTCTGTTTCTCTTTTTCTGTTTTGTTTCGTTTTTTGATTTGTGAGAAAGTCTCATAGTTCAGGCTGTCCTTTGACTTGCTGCAATCCTCCTGCCTCAGCCTACCAAGTACTACAATTCCAACCTTTAAAGAATATTTTTGGTCTTTTTTTTTTTTTTTGTCTTTTTAAGACAGAATCTTGCTATGCAGTTCAGGCTGGCCTTGGGCTCACTTTGTAGCCCAGGCTGGTCTCAGACTTGCAAATGATTCTCCTGCCTCAGCCTCCCAAGTACTGGGATTATAGGAGTGCAGAGTCTTCCTTTTCTGTTTTGTTTGTACCAGGGATCGAACTTACAACCTCACACTTGCCAAGAAAGCACTGGTTTTCTTAATTACTTAAAAAGAAACTGTGCAGTAATAAATAGACCACAAAATGACATCATTGGTTAGCTCTTCAGTTATGTTGAGGCTTAGTCCTGTCTCTTTTGACTTCTAGATGCGGAAGAGGCCTGGACCCACTTCCTCACCCTTCTCTAGCCCTGCCTCCTCCCGTTCCCAGACACCAGAGAGACCAGCCAAGAAGACAAGGTGATCAGTATCTCCTCCTCTTAACCATTTGCTGAAGGGCGAGTGAGAGGAGAGGAAAGTGGGTAACACACCCATCTGGTCTTTGCATGACTCTGATCTGTGAATCCAGTGACTCAGGTGTTAAGGAAGGGCAGCGAAGGGCCTGGAACTGCCCTCCTGCCACACTGGGGGCGGCAGGGGTGCAGAGTGGTTATGTCTGCGGACGGGAGCCCCCGTCCCTGGTGCTCTGCATGTTTCGTGGCACTGCAGCTCCACTCCCTCAGGCGTCATGTCTGAGCCCGGAACTCTCAGGATTTAGCAGATTGTAAGTTTTTGAAGGTTTATGTTTGGTTTAAGATGAGGTTTCTCCCTGGCCTTCATGAAATACTCTCTTCATTTCTGCAGTAATTTTCTTTTGACCCTTTTTGTCCTAACAAACAGATGAATCAAGGCTTTGGCCCGTTGTAGTGTGGAGAGTATAAGACACTATTTATCCAGTGCTTAGGTCCAGAAGTCTTTCTGAACTGAATTCTGTCTTCCCATATCCCTGTAGAGAAGAGGAGGCTTGTCAACATGCAAGTTCTTTAACACCACTGGTGACGGACAAGGAGTCCCAGGGAGAAAGGGGTGAGCTGATGAAAGGCAGAGAAGGGCTGGTGGTCCGGGGGGTGGTGGTGAGTTGGTGAGGAAATGCAGATTCACTCGGCCTGTGGCATCTGAGCAGTCCCGGGCTGCGCCATCGGGGAAGCAGTTAGATGCGTTTGGAGCTGTTTTAGCTTCCTCTTAATGATTGGAAATAGCCTTGCAAACACTATTCAGGTACCCAGCTGTGGAAGAGAGAATCTTCTCAGGATGCCCAGTGACAACTCTGTTAAAAATCAGGCTAAGCTGAAACTAAGCTAAGCTGGGCATGGTGGCACATGCCTGTAATCCTAGCTCTTAGGATGCTGAGGCAAGAGGATTGCTGGGTGAGTTCAAGGCAGCCTTGGCTACATAGTAAACTTAAGGCCGGCCTAAACTACATAGTGAGACCCTGTCTCAAAAAACCAAAACACCAGAGGCTAGACAAAACTCCATTCCTGGAGAAGGAAGATAGCAACTCTTTTTTCTTTAGTTGCAGAGACAACCACCTGCAAACAGAACTCATGGACTTCCCCGTCTACACCTGGCAGCTCTCGGCGGCGGGTACGAAAGACTCAGCTGCTGTCCTGCAGGCGAGGGGACCGGCTGACCTTGGTACATCATGCCTGTTGCCCTCCGCACGTGTTCTTGGGGGGAAGCTAAATGCAGGTTTCTCACACTTGCCTGCGTTGGCCTGACCTGTCCCTGTTCTTGCTGGCAGCCTCCCCCGCCTGAACTCGGCTATTCCGTCACTGCGGAAGACCTGGACCTACAGAAGAAGGCTTCGCTGCAGTGGTTCAACAAAGTCTTGGAAGACAAAGCTGGTAAGAAGTGCACATCGGTGGTGTGTTCCAGAGGGGTTTGAAGTGTTCATTCTTTCTCAGTGAGAAATCTGCCCAGATGTCCCCTGATTCCTGGAGGGAAGCATTTCTGAGCAAGTCAGGCAAGCCCCAGAGCTACCCATGCTGTCTGGAAAGAGTCCCAAGCGAGGCAGAAGTTTCATCTTGTCTTTCTTCCATAGATGTTGCCTCAAACTCTGTCACTGAGAGCCCAGCCACCACACAGCCTTCTTTCACATTCTCCTTGCCTGCTACAGTGCCTGTGTCCTCACCAGCATCCCTCCCAGTGCCGGGTGCAAATCCCCTGCTGGAGAGCTTGAAGAAGATGCAGAGTCCCCCAGGCTTCCCATCCTTCTCAGGTGAGCATGACATCTCTGAGCAGGTGCTGAGCCAGGCCTGTACAACACTGGCATCCATGCGGGCACTGGGATTGTTTGTGAGTTCAGATCTCCTCTACCTTTGAAGGAGGAGATCTACCTTGTACCTGTGGGTGGTACAAGCTTCACTGCTTCTAAATTCTGAATTGGAAAATGCGAAAAACAGTGTTCTGCCACATAGAAGTAAAGCTTGGAAAGGCAGATTGGGTTTGGCTTGTAGTTTGCAGTCCGGATCTCTGGCTGCTGTTGTCATCCATGAAATGAGAATGACATGGCCCTCATGCTGTGTCTTCCATATGAGTGTGGCAGTGCCAGTGCCCTTAGGACACCGTGGGCTCCCAGGCCACAGGCCTGTGCCTTCATGACATGGCACATGTCAAACCCCTGCACTTTGCTGCAGTGTGTGTTGTGGTGGTGTCGCATCTCTAGGGTTCCAGGGCAGACCAGTCACGCGTGTGCTCATAGCTCTGTACTTAGCATTTCAGTGGTAAAGGTGAGAGGTACATCTTTGCTTGGCAGGTAAGAGGCATCTCAGTGAGTAGCCAGGTTTCTGAGGATTCATTTCCCTTCATCCTCACACATATCATCCCTTTTAGGCTCTATTCTTGTCTGTCTATCTGTGGAAATAGGAATGTCTTCTTGATGGCCTTTGCATGCAGTTCTGCAGCACAGACTTGCTCAGTTTCCTGACTGACTCTTGGATTCCCCCAGCACAGTGGTGGTTCCTGCAGGGCACAGACCTGTTGCATACCTCCCTGTGGAAGTCTTTGCAGTTGCAACTTACCTTTCTTTCTCCTCTTCCCAGAACCTGCTGGAGTGGCAGCCACTATGGCCCCTACACCTCCGAAGACACCCAGCCTCCTGATGCCACTTGCTTCTTCCTTGTCAGGACCCCTGCCAGCCTCCTCTTCAGACACAAAACCCACAGCCACTCTCCTGGCCCCGGTCCCTGCTGTCTCTGCAGCCACAGTCGACACCAAGCGACCTCTAGCCCCCCAGGCTGAGACACCTGCCAAAGCCTCCACACCCCCAAGCCCAGGTCCAGCTCCCAAGCAGAGCCCAGCATTTGAGATGCTGAGCCCTCCGCCTTCCCACCATGCCGCTCCCGCTGCTGCTCCCAGCCCGTCTTCTGCTTCTCCCATGTTCAAGCCCATTTTTGAACCACCACCTAAGGTCGAGAGCGAAGGGCCTTTGCCATCCAGCACCTCCCTTGCAGTCACCGCCTCTACCAGCACCACCCCCACCACTACGACCAGCACCGCGACCCCGACTTTCAAGCCCATCTTCGGCAGCATGGTGCAGCCTGTGTCCATGCCCCTGTCAACTCCTTTCTTCAAGCCGGCAACTGCTCCGGTCACTACTGCAGCCATAAGCTCCCCCATCTTCTCTCCCCTGGCCCCTGCCACCTCTACCGTGGCTTCTGTCACCACAGCCAGTACCTCCACGGACTCCACTTTGAAGCTTCCTTTCAGCTTCGGAGTGAACAGCGCGGCCAGCACTCTGAGCAGCATGACCAGTACCTCTGCTTCCACCTCGCAGCCTTTCCTCTTTGGGGCTCCTCCAGCTTCTGCTGCCAGCTTTACCCCAGCTGTCACCTCCATTTTCCAGTTCAACAAGTCTCCGGCCGTGCCCGCGACCACGGCCATCACCAGCTTCAGCCAGTCCCTTCCCAGCACCGTGCAGACAGCCACCAGCACCGGCAGCAGCACAAACACTGCTGGCTTCAGTGGCTTTGGCAGCACCCTCAGCACTCCGGCCGCTATCACCACCAGCCAGTCCACGCTGACATTCAGTCATACGACCACCCCAGCGTTCAACATTCCCTTCGGCTCAGCCACCAAGCCCCCTGTCCCACCTCCGCCATACCCAGGGGCCAACCCCCAGCCCACGTTAGGGGCCACAGAGGGGCAGCAGCAGGGCTCTGCGGCACCGGCCCTGCTGCCCAGCTTCGGCAGCTCCTTCACGTTTGGGAACTCTGCGGCCCCGGCCCCAGCCCCAGCCCCAACTGCCTTTGGCAGCTCAGTGCAGTCCACTTTCGGCGGCCTGAAAGCTGTAAGCGCCATGTTTGGTGCCCCTGCCAGTACACAGCCAGCCTTTGGTAGCAGCACAGCCACCGTCTTCTCCTTCGGTACGGCCACCACCTCAGGCTTCGGCACCACCACCCAGACGGCCAGCAGCGGGGCCAGCAGCGCTGCCTTCAGCAGCTCCGCCCAGTCTCCGTTCACCTTCGGGGCATCAGGGGCGACGGGGAGCAGCAGTGGGGGCTTTGGGCTCAGTGCGGCTGCCCCAGGCACCAGCTCCACCTCGGGAACCTTCAGCTTTGGAGCCGGACAGAGTGGGACCACAGGCGCTGGTGCCCCGTTCGGTGGGGCACTCCCCCAGAGCACCCTGGGCACAGCCAGCCAGAGCACGCCGTTTGCTTTCAACGTGGCCAATGCGGCCGAGAACAAGCTTGTGTTCGGAGGTGAGGCGGCCAGAGCCCTAGGCTCGGGAGCAGGCTCCTGAGGGCAGAGCGCACTCAGCCAGGGGGGTCTGCGGTCAGGGGCTGGCAGCACAGGGAGGGACAGCCTGGGCCCCAAGGAGAGGTGAACCGTTTTGACAGCAGAGAAGCCAGGCCCGGCAGAGATGTGAGGGGAGAAAAGGCACGGAGGAGGCCATGAGGCAGAAGTTTGAGTGAAAGGAAACTTAGTTTGTACACTGAGAGTGAATTTTGGTCCTGAGAGCATGGCATCTCCATCATGTAAGAGCACCCTGGGGTGAAGCAGGAAGAGGGGCCTCTGGCAAGTCACTTCAGACAGTGACAAAAGAAAGTGAAGTGGGTCTGCCAGGTGCTTTTGTGGGCTGCAACGTAATAACTGATAACTGTTGAGTGAGGCCATAGTGCAATGCCTTCCCTGCAACTGCTGATGTGGGCCCTTAACGTGAGCGCTGCAGAGGCAGGCAGTGGTGCAGGTACTGCTCTGGAACCGCGGGCCACACAGAGTCGGGGGGCCTGATGTGCTGAGGAACGACTGTGGGAGGTGACAGAGGTGGGCTGCAGGATGGCAAGCTGCCCTCACAGGTGCTCAAGGCAGGGGGAGTCAGGATGGTAGACAGTGAGACAGCCACACTTGGCACCTGCAGGACTAAAAGAGGAAGGCATTGGGAAGATCCTTGTCCCATCTGAGTCCTAGGAGCCATAAGACAGCTTGCTGTGCAGTGGAGCAGGGGCTGGTAACAGCCCTGAAAGGCACCCTGGAAGATGGGGCCAACAGAGGGAAGTAAAGAATTGGAAGGCGGGGGGAGGAGATGATGAGAGGTGAGTCCTGGTGTGGAAATCATTCATTAGACCTTAGTGTGTGGGGTGCAGAGCGGACACCTGGGAGCTGTGAGCTGTGGGCCACTCGCCCACCAGCCTGACCTCTGCTATCCCTTTTAGGTACCTCCACACCTACCTTCGGACAGAGCACTCCCGCCCCTGGCGTGGGCACAGCGGGCAGCAGCCTGTCCTTTGGAACACCTTCAACGCCCGCCCAAGGCTTCATGGGCATCACGCCTTTCGGTGAGTGCTGGGCTCCCATGGTGTGGGATGGGGTGCAGGCTCCTGGCCCTTAGGCCGTGGCAATAGGACAGCAGCACCCATCATACTGGGTAAGCCAGGTGAATAGTTTGTGGGTCTCATTCCAACTTTTTGAGGACTTGGCCACTTGCTGAGCCCCACCTCAGCATGGAACTAAGGTGCCATTGGGAAGCCTTGGTGCTGCTGTTGGCCTGGTTTTTGAGTTTTGTTCTCTGGGAGCAGCTGCCCTGATGAGACCTTATCAAACTTTTCTAGGATCAGCGGCCCCTTCCTTTTCCATTGGTTCGGGATCCAAGACCCCAGGGGCCCGACAGCGACTGCAGGCCCGAAGGCAGCACACCCGAAAGAAATAGCCTTCGTGTCTTGTTCCTCTTCCCTCCACCCCTTACCCACATCTGGACCTCGGCACCTGCTAGGAAGAGCCTCTGCCCCTTCGAGTTCCATACAGCAAACCTAGCCCAGACCCCCTGGCTTTAGCCACCAGGATATATGGCAGCCCTGGGCCCTCTCCCGGCCAGAGGAAGCACCTGGAAGCAGGTGCTCGTGCTCGGGAGGCTGGAGGGACCAGGGTAGAAGCCAGTTTCTTGAACACTTTCTCTGGTGAGTCTGGAGAACTAAAGGAACGTGTACATACTGCCCGCTCCCCGGCTCATTTAGTGCCAGCCGGATGCTGCCTTCCACCTTCCCTGAGGTGCAGTGCACCCACCTGCGTCTCTGGCACTTTGGATGGGTCGGAAAAACGCTCTTCCCTAAGCTTTACCTGCCTGGCTTGGCTATGAGAAGTGGTTCTCTTCCTCTGGTCCCGTTAGGGGACTTTATTTCCTCATTTCTTGCTGCTTTGTCCCCACTGGTTCCCTGCAGGATTTACTCCTTTTTAAAAGACCTTGAACCTAGCTTTGCCTTGGAGACCCCAGTGGGTGCTGCTCCTGCTGCTCTACTTCCTCCTGCCGAGTCTGAGGTGGCTTCACCTCCCACCCTCTGCCAGTTTGGCCCCTAAAAGCTTGGCGGCTCAAGACTGTTAGCCTGGCAGAGCCAGGGCGAGCAGCTCCGGAGCAGGCAGGACGTTCCCCGCTTTCAGCTGCCTCCCTGCCCTCTGGCCTCCTGGCCTGCATCTGCCTCTGGGATCACACATCCCAAGCCTTGTCCTGTGTTACTGTCTGATGCTCATGTCTGTTGCTCTTTGAATCGAGTTTGGAGGAAGCATTGAATTGTATGTGTGGCGGCATGTTGGTAGTGCCGGACCTAACTGTCTCAAGTCTCCTGGGCCTACTTAAAGGAACATGGAAAGTGGCCCCGCTTGACGGCCACAGTGCTGACTTCTGAATTTTGCAATGGTGTTTTGACGTTAAGGGCTGGCAGCCCAGGGGATGGCGTCAGGGGAAGGAAGACCTCCCCTCCACCATTGCCCCACTCACCTTGCCTCACCGCAGGTGAGACCCCCACGCCACCACGGGAGACCCACGCTGACAAGGTGCAGGGTGTGGCCGTAGGGGTCCCCAGCAGGGTCTCCTCCAGCCCACCCCTCCCCAGATCCCCCAGGGCCCAGCTCCTTGCTGCCACACCCACCCTCTTTGGGAGAAGTATGAATGCGTGTGTCTAAATTAAAAGAAAAATATTTAAACATTTTTTAACAAAATAAAAATTTATTTTTGTATTTAAGCTAAATTGCCTTTTAAATTCCTTCAAGCTTGGTTCACTGAGGTGGTTAAGTATAAATGCTATGAAATAGAGAGTAGCTGTATTGTTAAGTTATGCCTGTGTGGAGAAGGGGTCCGCTGGAGCTCCTTCTGGATTATACAAACTTAATCCTCATTTTATAAATAATGTGACGTAGGTGTAACTAGTCCCCTCCCCTAGTGACTGAGGTTGAATGTGGGAAGAGCGCAAGGCCCAGAACCTGTCAGGGTGGACAAGGGTCCAGCAGCGAAGCCTCACCCCGGCCTTGCATCGGGGCTCTTGGCCGTGCACGCTGAGCCAGCTACCTCGGGCGCCTGGCGTGTGCGCGAGGACGTGCGCGGCGCTTCCTGTCACAGATGAGAGTTGGTTCCTGTCGGAGGTAGTTGGCATTTTTAGTATGAATGTGAGATTTTTCTCTTTGCTTGTCATAAGAATAAACAAACTGTGATCCATCATGGACCCTGTCCTTTTATTGCACTTTCTGTCACCAGCAAGAACACAGCCCAGGTTAGGGGCCCACGGCCAAGACACCCATCTGGTGGCAGGAATGGGCTGCCAGGCAACTTCCTTCCCTGCAGGTTCCCCACCTGCTGCCTGCTATGTGCCCTCGCTGGCCACTGCTTTCCGCCGCCTCTTCCTCTTGGGCACTGGGCTGGGCACAGGTGCTGGCGTCGGCACTTCAGCCAGTGAGGCTGAGCTGTAGGGCAAGGACAGGGCTCAAGTGAGCCCCAGCTGCCCCCCACCTCCCAAGCAAGCCCTGACCCCCATGCCTCACCTCAGCACCTCTGCCCTTTCAATCACAGCAACGAAGAAACCACCAGTGAGCGTGGTCTCGGGGGAGGCGCGGAGGCAGTGTTCAGCTCCTGGAAAGGTGTCAAGGCCTCGGTGTGGCCAGGAGGGCAGGATGGGTACCAGCCTGTGGAGGGAGAGGACTCAGCCTACACTGAGTGATGTGGCATCCTCTGCCCCCCACGTTCTGCCTGGAGCACACATTACCGAAAGGGCCTTAGGCTCTGCTGCAGGGCATCCCGGACCACGTCCTCGTTCTCCTCTTGGCACAGGGAGCACGTGGAGTAGACAAGGCGCTGCAGGGCAGGGAACGAGAGCGCGTGGCGCAGCACTCGCAGCTGGAATGCTGACAGAGCGCACAGCCGCTCCTTGCTGGGGGGCTCTGCTGCAGGCTCCTCCAGCTGCCGGCTCAGCATGCCTGTGGGGAACGGCACACTGCAAAAGCCGCGCAGACTGTGTTCCCACAGGAGCCCAGCTTCACAGATGGGACAGTTTGTCCACCGTCCCATGGCCACTGAGAACTCCCAGCCGAGACAGAAACGAGTGGCCTTCAGGCTCCAGGCCTGCCTAGGCTGCAGCCCCACAGCCAACCTCCCCGTCTCACCAGAGCCACTGCAGGAGGGGTCCAACAGGATGTACTGGACCTGCGCGTAACGTGTATCCGAGGGTGACACTGCCAGAAAGTCCTCCTCAGCCAACTCACAGCAAGAGACTCCAGCGCGGGCCAGCAGAGTAGCCATAGACGCCAGCCGTTTGGCGTCCAGGTCAAAGGCAAAGATCTTCCTGCAGGACAGGGACATATAGGGTATATAAGGGAGTCCACATCTGTGGCATGTCCCACTAAGTAGCCAAGTGGCCTGGTGTCACGTTGAAGGGATGAGAAACCACATCTCACCTGCAGCTCCCAGGAAGCTTAGCTTGGAGCCACTCCTGCTGTCCTCAGCCTCTATGACCTACTAAACATCTTATTCTCCCTACAAAGCAGAGTCAGGCCCACCCCAGCCCTTCCTCTCCTGTTCCCCTGTAGCCCTCACCCTTGGTTCTTCAGAATAGCTGCCAGGTGACTGGTCTTGTTGCCTGGGGCGGCACATGCATCAATGACATGGGAGCCAGGTGGCGGGGCCAGGAGCATGGCTGGGAGGCAGCTGGCCTGGCAGAGCAGAGCAGTGCAAAGCAGGAAGTGAACAGAGGAGGGAGGTCCCTTGGAGGAGCCCACGTTTCTCTTTCCCACCTGTCCTCCCCACCTTGTCTTGCAGGATGAGGTGACCCGCCTGGTATAGCGGGTGTTCATGCAGATCTGTTTGCGCAGGAAACACAAGCAACTCAGGCAACAAGAGATCCAGAGCAAAGTGCTTCCCTTTGAGGGCCCGGAGCTCTTCAAGGCTGCCAGAGAACATAAACCATTAATTCAACACTTTCTGGTTTCTTCTACACCAGGCCCTCCTTTGCTCATTCTTACAAGCAATAGTTAAACTTGTTACAGTTGGTACAGCACATGCCTAGAATCCGAGACTAATGCAGGAACGTCACAAATTCAAGCCCAGCCTGGAATTAAGTAAACTAGGAGTGGTGGTACAGTCCTAAAAATCTCAGCACTCTGGAGGCTGAAGCAGGAGGATCACTGTCAGTTCAAGGCCAACTTGAAAACCCAAAAAAAAAAACAATTAGTAAATGTAAACCAACTGGCTATGCTGGGGGGCGGGGTGGTGGTGGTGGTGGTGGTGGTGATGGTGGTAGTGGTGGTAGTGTTAGCCTCAAAAGTACCAAACCCCAAGGCTCAGATTCCTCAGTCTTGAAATAAAAAAAAACAACTAGGAAGAAATTTCAGAATGTTAACACGGAATCAGTCGTTAAAGACAATGGTCTCTGGCCAGTCACGCCTGATTCAGGGTCCCAGCACTCCCACATCCCGGCAGCAGGAGCCCCACTTGCACTTCTGTGCCATGGGCGGCATCAGATGAATTAAGCATTTTCAACACACTTGGCACAAATGAAGCACCAAGAGGCACCGTTACTGGAAAGCGGCACCATAGGGGTGGCAAGAACAGCGCTGCAGCAGCCAAAATCTCAGTAACTCTTCAAGGGCACTGGGCATCCTGGGACCACCACGGCCTGGCCTGGGGATGGCACGCCCCAGGTCAGAAGGCCACCAAGCCTCCAAGCTGTACACTGACCCTGAGTATCACTGTCTGCGCCACTCCACTGGGCTAAGGAGCCAGCACTCGAGAGGCAGGAGCAGGAAAGGAGGAGGGAGAGAGCACAGGCATTGCTCAGAGGCATCGAGGGACAAAACAGCAGGCGGCAAGCCTGAGGAAGAATCTCGAGCAGGGACCTGCAGTGCCTTGGCCAAGAGGCTGGAAAGGAGGCTCAGCATAGCCAGGTCTCCATGAAGTGAGCAGTCTTACAGCTGCTTTTAGGTTGTTTAACAAATGAAAAGCAGGTTCCTCTTTAAAATTTTTTACATTATCTGTTGTGTAATTTTTTTTGTCTTTCAGTATTTTATAGTACATATTTGCAGTACATGTGGATTTCAGGCGAGGTAGGAGTTAGGACAGCCAGGCAGGACGCTGAGCTCTCTCACCTGGAAGCCCGACCCTGGTAAGAGAAACCTTGCCTCTTGAAGTAATCCACCACATCATCGGGGCAGGTCTTGAGAGTGTTCACACGCACGAAACGAGGCACCTGGGAGGCTACGGTGCAACAGCAGTGAGCAGGTGGGAACACAGACGCCTTTTGCTTAGGGCCTGGCAGCTGGCACCCTCCCCAGACCCCACAGTTCCCTCCAGCTCACCTGGGCCCAGCTTGGACCCCACTTCCAACAGGTCCTCGTTCCTGCTCACACCGCGGTGAACCTTGAGCCTTGCCAACTCGGCCTTGAGCCTCGCCTGGTGCCGGGCGAGCAGAGGCTTCCAACGGCCCCCGCCCCCTCGAAAGCCCTTTCCCAGCAACAACTCGAACACCAGCACCTGGGGAGGAAGAGCAAGACAAAATGAGGCAACCCAAGGCATTCACTCCTTAGAACCACAGAGTGCTGGCACTAGGAGGGCTAAAGAGGCCCTTCCAAATGCGGAAGGGGCGATCCCTTGGTACATGAACCCAGCAAGTAACAGATACAGGCCAGCACCGTTTCCCTAGGCCAGAGCCCTGGCCTCCCAATTACCTTCCTTGCCAAAAAATGCCCTTCCATTTACTTAGTCTCTCACTGCTTTTTTTTTTTTTTTTTTTTTTTTTTGAGACAGGATCTCGCTGTGCAGTTCAGGTTGGCCTTGAGCTCACTTTGTAGCCTAGGCTGGTCTCGAACTCGCAACGATCCTCCTGCCTCAGCCTCTCGAGTGCTGGGATTACAGGCGTGAGCCACCATGCCCGGCTTGCTTTTTTTTTTTTCTTTTTTTTTTTTTTGCGTAGAGCTGGGGATTGAAATCAGGATCTTCACGCTGAGCAACATCCTCAGTCCTTTTTTAAAATTCTTAGTTAGCATCTCGCGAAGCCCCTAAATTGTCCGAGCTTTGCTCGCTCTATCTTGAGATCCTCCTGCCTCACAGAATGCTGAGATCTAATTACAGGTGTGATCCACCGCGCCCGGCTTTCTGTCCCATTTACTCCTTTACGCACGGCCTGAAGTTAAAGCACATTCATTTAAATCAATGCATAACCCAGTGAGAGGCTACAACACACTCATTTCGGAAGAGTGACGCGGGACAGAGCCGGGTCCAGGAGACAGGCGCCACCCCGCCTCGCCCTTCACCTTGGCTAGATGCGGCCGCAGCTTCTTCTCAGCACGGAGGAGGCCGGCGCTGGCGATCACGGCGTCCAGCACGGCCGAGTAGCGCTGCGTCTCGCACACGAGCGCGTACAGCTGCTTCACGTTCTGCATCACCGAAGGGAGAGACACACTGAGCGGCGCCCGAAGTGGGCCACTTCTGCCCGATCTCGGACCTCGGCCCCCCACTTTTCTTGCGTCGAGCCCAGTTACCTGGAAGTTGCTAGCGTATACCAAGCCCTTGAGGGAGCCCTGGCGGTTTTCCACCCCAGCGAGTACCGCCGCAGCCGCCGCGTACAACGCCATGCTCCCAATCCCATGCGCACTTACGGCGCTGTCGCAAAGCGCAGCAGCTTTGTGGCTGCCTTGCACGCTCTTTACGGCCGGACTTCCGGGATCAGGGAGCGCAGGCTTCTGACTAGCTAAATGGTGGATCGCGCGCTTGGTGAAAGTGAAGCTCAGATTCCCAGCACCTCAGCAACCGTGTTGCAAGAGGATTGATTTGGGGCTACATTAGAATTGCTGAGTTGCTTCAAGTTTTAACTTTCTGTAGCTCAAAGTTAGTGATTTTTTTTTAGGGGCTCTCGTACTGAGGGCTAAACCCTAGGCCTTCCCACTGAGATACATCCCGTGTTTTTTTGTTTTTACTTTGAGACGAGGTCTTGCAAAGTGTTGCCTACGCTGGGCTGGAACTTGCCATCCTCCTGCTTAGCCTTCCACAGTGCTGGGATTACAGAAATTTGTAATTTAATGACTTAGGGACTTGTCTCATTACAAAATGAAAACAAAAAAAGCTGAGCATTAGCTCAGTGTGAGGGCCCCACTACCAAATTCGAATCCTAGTATCCCCTGAGTGATATTTTAGTAGTGTTACCATCAAATCCTGCCTTACCAGCATTCTGTATGTTATTTCTTTATGGCTTATTGTCATCCTAGCTCACTCCACAGGGACAAAGATCTTTGCTACTAATCTACACCTACCATTTTTAGATCAGTCTCTTCCTTACAATAAAGATCTAAAATAGTAAAATACCTGATGGAAGAGCATGAATGAATAAACACAAATTGATGTGATGTTGGACAACTAGTTAAACTAGAATTGGCCCACACTAACTAGCATCTCCTCCTGAAGATGACGGAGAATAGAATAAGATGGGCCCTAAACTGATGGTTAGGTTCCAAAGGTTCTTACATTGAGAAAATTTAGCCAATCAGCTCTTTTTCAGAGTCTCATATGATGGGGTATAGGAACTCTTGTCTTTATATCCTGTAACCTAGCTGGTCAAGACTCTTGATGGCAAGTGACAAACTCCCAGCTACTTAAAGAGAACAAAAAGGGAGAGATTATTTGCTTACAAAAATAGGAATTCCTATTCCTAGGGGAGGTTAGGACACTTCAGGCATGGCTGGACTAAGGGGCCCAAATGTTGTCAGCAAACTTTCAAATTAAAACCTGAGCTTATTTTGTTTACTTATGTTCATCTTCACCTCCTTGTGCTATGTGTCCTCTGATGGCTCCATTCTCAGGCATTTTCCATGGAATGCTAAGAAGACCCCAGGAGCACCAGGCACATTTGGTCCAATTTGACATTCTCTGTCCACTGATACTCTTGACAGCCCCGGAGTGGGAATTGTACTATCCAGACTCAGTGTGTTCTTCTCAGGAAGCATGTGTAGTGCTCCCAAAAGCAAGAAGGCACATCAAGTCTTTGGAGACCTGAAATGGACTAGCATGGCTACACACAATAAGTAATGGAGGTGTTACCCTCAAAAGCCAAAACAAGGATTTTGACCTCTATGAGAAACAGGAGTCCACCGAAGGGTTTCATTAGGAGAGTGATACCCTCCTGTTGGGAGCCGCAGCCCCGAGCCCGGTCGCCTCACTTGGCGGACGTGAGGCCTGTAGTAAAGAGTAAAGCCTGAGGTAGATTACCCCTCCCATCGAGCACGTTAGTTTCCTGCTTACCGAGTAAGCAACCCGCTCAACAATATAGTCTGCCTGGCAACTGATGATGTTAGCCAATCAGCTTGCCTTGCTTACTTTAACATGATTGGACACTGTATCCGTATATATACTGGTGCCACCCCTGGGGGGGAAGAAGAAGCCCGGAAGTAGAAGCCTAGAAGGAGCCGCGGGGAGCGGACCAAAGGAGGCTTCGGCTGGGAGCGATCCCAGGGCAGGCTGTACGGAGAAGAAAAATAAAAGAAAAGGTTGTCCACTGCCAGACTTTGTCGTGTGTCCTTCCTGCCGGCCGGGAGCGGACATCGACATTTGGAGGCCCGCACGGGGACTGATCACCCCCGAGACGTGACAGCGGACAACGCTCCAGTACAGAGCTGCGAGACAGGTGAGTTGGGGATAAGCCTGGGCTCTGGGTGGCGCGCACCTACAGGGCTTTTAGACTCCCCTCAGGCTCACGCGTAAGTGGCGGATTCCTTGGGCCTCACGCGGTGAGTAACATATTAAAAGATGGGAAACATGCTAGGTAGCAACACTAAGAGCGAGGGTGGTTGTGGAGAAAGCTCTCAAGAGCTTACAAAAGTACGCAGGGTATTTGAGCAGGCCCAGTCGGGGAGCTCCCGAGAGGGGCCCGTCAAGGGGAACAAAGATGCTAAGGAGAAGGACGGGGCTCTAGCCTCGGAGTCGTCTGACTCCGAGGACGAGGGAAAGTTGAATGGCAAGGAGGCCAAAGAGACCAGCTGTCAGGAGCCTAAGTCGCTCGATAAGGAGTCGCAGGGTTCTTTCCCAGTAATTCAGGGTACCACAGAGCCATTTGTTGACTTTGTGGCCCGAATGCAAGATGCTGCCGATAAGATATTTTCTGATCCGGGAGTGGCTCGACTGCTGGTAAGGCAGCTGATTTTTGAGCAATGTACAAAGGAGTGCAAGGCAGCGATAGCTCCTCATAAGAACAAGGACCTCAACGCCTGGATTAGGATATGCAGAGAGATAGGGGGGCCGCTCTCCAACTCGGGAGTGGCTGCTCTCCTGGCCGCGGCTGTACCGCAGAGGGGACCTCGCGGGTTAGAAGGGGAATGTAAGGCTAAAGGGTGTTTTGCCTGCGGGGAGCCAGGACACATTAAACGTCATTGCCCAAACAATGCAGATGCTAGGCCTCGCCCTAGGAATGAAGAACCATATGTTTGTGGGCGATGCAAGAGGGGATCACACAAAGCTGAGGAGTGTAGGTCGGTCTTTGATGCTCAGGGCAACCGTATTTGTGGACGAGATGTTAGAGGGCCAAAAAACGGCCAGAGGGGGCCCCCTTCACAGGCGGGCCCCCGCCCCAGAGACAGGACAGCTCAGGATGGCAGCCTTCAACAAGGGCCACCCCTGGGTCAGCAGGTGTGGACCTCAGTGTCGCCTCCAGACTTATATTAGTGCCTGATATGGGTGTTCAAGTGGTTGAAACCACCTTTAAGGGACCGTTACCCGAAAATTCCGTGGGTCTGGTGATCGGGAGATCCTCCACGGCCCTTCGGGGTCTCATAGTAGTCCCGGGGGTCATAGACTCAGACTACACAGGACACATTAAAATTATGGTTCAATCTCTTGTGGGTACTATGGTAATCAATAAAGGAGACAAGATAGCGCAGCTCTTGCTGCTCCCCAGTCTCCACAAGAGATTCCCCTCAAAGCAGAAAATTAGAGAAAGTCAAGGTTTCGGTTCCTCAGGGGAAGTCTTCGAGGGACTCCATATAATACTTGATAAAAGGCCCATGCTCTCACTTAAGGTCAACGGCAAGAGTATAACAGGGCTCCTAGACACAGGAGCTGACCGTTCCATTATCTCTAGAAAGGATTGGCCCTCCAACTGGCCCACCAACACTGCAGATAACACGCTGCAGGGCCTGGGGATGGTGTCAGCTCCTCAGGTTAGTGCTTCAACCCTGCTCTGGTGCGATGAGGAGGGTCATCAGGGCCATTTCCAACCATTTGTGTTGCAGTTGCCAGTGTCTCTATGGGGAAGGGACATCCTCACTCAGATGGATGTCACGCTTACGTCAAACTGCTCCCCCCAGGCTAAGGATATACTCAGGAACCAGGGATATACCCCCGGCAAAGGCTTGGGCAATGCCCTACAGGGTCGGACATCCCCAATACCAGTAGAGAACAAAAAAGGTAGGCAAGGGCTGGGTTTTTCTTAGGGGCCGCTGAAGAAGCTCTCCTACCCACTTCGATCAAAATCACCTGGAGGTCAAATGATCCGGTTTGGGTACCTCAGTGGCCCCTGCCTAAGGAGAAGCTATTAGCCTTGTCAGAAATAGTCAGTACACAACTTAGATTAGGACACATTAAGCCGTCAACCTCCCCATGGAACACCCCCATTTTTATAATTAAGAAAAAGTCTGGCAAATGGAGGCTGCTCCATGATCTAAGGGCGGTCAACGCGCAGATGCAGTCCCTGGGGGCGGTCCAGAGGGGGCTGCCAGCTCTCTCAGCCATCCCTCAGTCCTGGCCAGTTTATGTTATAGATCTTAGAGACTGTTTCTTCTCAATCCCCCTGCATCCAGAGGACACTCATAGGTTCGCCTTTATTTTACCCACCATTAACCAAGAAAGCCCTGATCTCAGATACGAGTGGATAACGCTGCCCCAAGGTATGGCCAACAGTCCCACTATGTGTCAGATTTACCTTGATTCCCTACTGGCCCCCCTACGGAAATCCTTTCCCAAGATAAGATGTGTGCATTACATGGACGACCTTTTGCTCAGCGGCAGGGACCCAGACATGCTAAATAATATGCTCGGCCAGTTGGTCGAGGCCCTGAGACAAGCTAATCTGCATGTTGCCCCCGACAAGATTCAGGGAGGAGAAATGGTGACCTACTTAGGCGCAAAAATCTCCCCTATGCTAGTCTCTCCACAGAAGGTCACCATTAGGACGGATGGCGTTAGGACCCTAAATGACATGCAAAAACTATTGGGAGACATTAATTGGATTAGGCCATATTTACATATACCAAATTCAGATCTCAAACCCCTGTTCGACCTTCTAAAGGGAGACCCAGATATAGCCTCCCACAGGAGGCTCACTCCTGAGGCAAGAGCTGCCTTACAGAGAGTGGAAAAAGCCTTAGGTGGGGCTACCTTACACAGAATTGAACCAGGGCGACCCTTTGATGTCTGTTTGCTACAGACTAGTCTACAGCCCACAGCGGTGATTTGGCAGAAAGGACCATTACTGTGGATACACCCTAAGGTCTCACCTGCAAAAGTCATAGAGCATTACCCGGAGGCAGTCGCTTCATTGGCCCTTGAAGCGCATGATAGAGCTGTCCAACATTTTGGCTCAGGACCACAAGCCATCCGAGTACCCTATACCGCCAGCCA